GTTGGCGAGCTCGCTGTCGATGCAGAAGCTCATGAGTCCGGCCTTAAAGTTGGTGCTGGCGATCTCACTGGTGAGTGCGGGGTTGACAGTAGAGCTGGTTGTCCACATGGGGAGGATCATGGCGACGGCGTTGTAGAGCGTGCCGATAGTGATCATGGCGATGGCGCCGTATCCGTGTTTAGAGATCGCCATAGTGTGTCCGCTGGAGCTGGAAGATACGGGTGTCCCGCTTAGTAAAAGTGATAATGTGCAGTTTGGTTTTGGTGTGCGTCAGTCGCGACTTCTACATGCAATATAATCATACGCTTCCCCACGAGAAGCGTAAGCAGCCAATTACCAGATTCCCATGAGCATTGCAGCCACGAAAATATCCAGCTGGATTGATTATCCTGAGCAAGAAAGACTTGAAATTGAGTAAACCATTCAAATAATAAATTACAGGGAAGATATCCGTAAGTTATTTTGGGTGGACAACCGTCTTTTGAGCGATACCACACCTATGTAGTTAAGGCCTTTTGAACGAGCTCAGGTATTTAATCTTTGAATATTGCATCAGGTATTTTGGAATGCAATATATTCAAGCAAGGGCTAAACTGTTCGAACCATTGTTCTAAACAAGGCTAATAGGGGCGCCTTCGTCATGCTTGGGAGTCTCAGCTGCCTTGTAGGTTGTGTGGTCCTCGTCCAATTCCTTCTGCTCCTCCTGCTGCAGCTTCAAGTACTTCCAGAACATGAACATCGCCACCGGGTAGTGCAGCATCGCAACGATCATCAGGAAGAACGACGTCTTGAATGACGCGTCGTCCTCCTTGCCAAGAGGCTTCGACTGTACCACCCACATTACAAAAGACAACATGGCGGCGAAGCATGCCACGCCCGCCAGGAAGAAGCCTCCACCGATCCACTTCTTGTTACCCTTGCAGCACGTGATGGCACCCACCATCGCGATGATCGCCATCACTCCGTTCGACAGACTCATACCGCCGAACGTCATCGTGGCCGTGCCCACAAGACCGCACGACTTGTCCAGGAACTTGTCGAACTGCTCCGCGTCCATGCCAGCGGCTGTGGCCAAGATAGAGGAGTATGCCAGCTGCTCCGCGTCACTCACGTCGCCCGCGTTGCCGTATCCCTTACAGATACCATCGGACGAGTACTTGGACCACACGTCGGCATTCAGCACCGACAGGTCGTCGTACGAGGACCCGAACTTGTAGTAGAAGCAGTGGTCGAACGTCGTGCCGTTGGTCATCTCGCTGTCGACGCAGAAACCCAAGAGACCAGCCTTGAAGTTGGTGTTCGACACCTCCGAGGCGAGTGCCGAGTTCACCGTCTTGTTCGAGCTCCACATGGGAAGGATGAAGGCGGCAATATTGTAGATCGTGGCGATGATGATCATGGCGATGGCCCCGAACGCAAACTTGTTGAAAGCCATGGTGGTTGGTATGTATCGATTTCGAGTAGGGTCGAAGGCAACCAAGAATGTTGCTGGTTGCTAGTCGCTGTAAAGCAAATTCAATAATGAGGGTAGTTGATGTTGCATCCCAACTCCAGACCAAACGCAGGGGCTCCAGTGGCTCATCTCCTTTTCAATGAGCAGCTTCATTTGGTGCTACACATAATAATCATCGCTTGGCTAAGATGGCTTCAAAGTGCACAGCTTGAGATTTTGCTGGTCAGGGCTTGAAAAGAAGAAAATCGAGTGAGCAAAGCAATCAAAAGCAACCTCTGCCAGATCGTAAAAATTCAGGGATATGCCAATCTTCTGTGGTATCTGTGCTGAACGCATGCAATCTATGCTCGTGGCAAAAACGCTTTAACCAAAATGTACATCCCGATTAACTTGGTCTAGAAACTACAACTCACTTATTTTCATCACTGAGAAAGATCAAATATGCACGATGTCATCGAAAATCCCAGCTTTTTATTTTACTTGTTCGGATAGAATATGACCAGAATCCGAATTCGGGATAGAGCACCCAAAAATACGACCGAGTTGTTGGTTCCCTGTCTCAACGGAATCGTTTACATGTACTGGCCGTGCAGATTACCCAAAATCTGAAAGCACATGAACATGGTAATCACGCGATATCCCAGACAAAAACTTTTTACTTTGTATTGAAAAGACATCATGTCCTAGCGTTGTTGACCATGTAGATTCAATGTATATATCGCGCTCATACGATTCTGGATCAATTGGTATCGGTACTACATTGCCGCTCTGAGTATGTTGAAGTTATGATTAATCGACGAATTTCCATTCCAGTGGATCATACTTTCTCGGATTGACTCTGGGCCTCTGAGTTTTATGCGGCCAGCGGAGGGGAGATAAGCAAACACCCGAGCGATCACGGCCAGGCAGAGGTTGCTTTAGATTGCGTTCCTAGCTAGATTTTCTCCATTCCGAGCTCTGGCCAGGAACAACTAGTGCTTTGAAGCAGGTGATGATTGTCGCAGCATGATTCTGCTCACTGAAAAGTTACCACAAATGGTGTAGCTTTTTAAAGGGTAGCTAAAGGCTACGTGTTGTAAAAGGCTTACCAAGCCAACCATAGATACGTTCTCCTGTGTTTTAGCTCAAGATGAAGTGCAACATCAACTACCCTCATTATTGAATTTGCTTTACAGCGACTAGCAACCAGCAACATTCTTGGTTGCCTTCGACCCTACTCGAAATCGATACATACCAACCACCATGGCTTTCAACAAGTTTGCGTTCGGGGCCATCGCCATGATCATCATCGCCACGATCTACAATATTGCCGCCTTCATCCTTCCCATGTGGAGCTCGAACAAGACGGTGAACTCGGCACTCGCCTCGGAGGTGTC